ATGTTTTTTTTAATTACCAGTAGATGTATCCATTATACTCACCAAGGCATATTTTAGGGTGCTTAATAGACAGACTGGTATTGCGGTAAAACTTGTCTTTACATTCCTGGCAGAAGTGACCCGTGGTATTATGCTTACAATCCTGGCAGACACCATAATCAAGTTTTTTGTTGTAGACGCAGGAATCGGCATGTTCGTGACATTCACATTCTAAAAAGAAAATAAAAATTAATGAAGATTAGAAGCTCAAAATGGTCTCTTTCCCAGCGATTATAATTCCATTTGATGATGCCAAGATAATCACTGATACTGAAGTTTGAACTTCATAGAAAAAAAAAATGAAGTTTTTTTCAGAAAAAGTCTGGACGATCCGTCGTCCATCAGTTACCGGTTCATTATATTACAAAAGACGAAACAGGCCCAGCTGGACAGATAAACTTCAATGGAGACGGCACACTTGATATCAAGAACTGTTCATATATCGAAGAATCTTCTAAAGCTGTTTCGCTAAAATAACTTTCAATTATTTTAAGAGTTCTATTAGAAAATTCTAATCAAAATCCAAGGTACAGTCTTTAAAAAATAGCCGCGAAAAGTACAATTTATTATTTACAGGTTGTTGAATCAGCTGCCGGAAAATGTCGTCGTTAGAGAAATTTTAATAAGTATTATATGCCAAAAACACTCAAGCGRTTGAAATATTAGACAGCATTAAAAAACATATTCTTTTACTTTCTTTCAAATGTTTTTAAATTATTAATATTAAATATGTAAAAGATTAAAGAAGTCAACGATKGTCGTTGCGTATACAGTATATAACATCTGGAAAGTGTCAATCTAATGGGACGATAGTTTGTTTTCTATATACTTACTTTGACAGGGATTTGCCTGGTATCTCGATGTAGCGGCCATCCAAGTTTTATTGTTGTACAGTGGTAGACATTTCTCACAGCTAACCCCATCAGTAAAATGCATACAATCGCGACATTTATTTATGCCATGAATACTGTTATTGTAGACACAGGACGCAGCATGCCCGTTGCATCTRCAACGTCCRAGCATGGAAAAATCAGATATTGCATAATAAAATTTGCTTAGAGTATCCTTATTTTTTCCTGACGTCTCSGTGCCATCAGTCCATGGATATAATAGCTGAAATCTAAAGTTAGTCACATGTAGATAATCTTGAACTTCAGGCTTGAAAAACTCTGCTTCTAGTTCGTATCTATCTCTGAAGTCAAACAGAACTTGGCCTCCTTTTGAGGGCGCAGTTTGGCTGTATGTTTGCGTACAGAATGCAGTAAAGTTTCCTTTGTTATCCTCTGAAGGCTCAGTATTTTTCATACCAAATCGAGTTTGACAGTCACTGGCGTAGTACTGAAGAACTCTCCAAGTTTTCCCAAAGTCACTCGACTTTTCTAAGATCATCCCCAATGGACGACGAGATTCAAATGTTAAAGCCAATAATCCTGTTGCRTCGAAACTCTTGTTAAAATTCATAGTAATGTTCACTTTAAGATCTTCATTTTGGTGAGTTTGGTACCATAYCCATARAGTATCAGATTGCCAGTACGTTACWGGTCCTCTCTCTATGTCTACAATGTATTTTGCAGGGTGACTCAAYTTYGGGTCCGAACTGTCACATACAGTGGTACAGACCGAAGATGGGCAAGCAGTCGAAGGCGGATCTCCGCAAGTATTTGTAGCTGTAATAGTCGCAGAACGGACTCGAGCAATGTTCCAATGTCCTGGTATGCATACAGCTTCATCGGCGCTTTTACCGTTGTCGTCAAAACACTCAGSTGATACATTCTTGATCAGAAGAAGACCAAAGACCAAGACAACAAGACGAACCATGTCTAAAGTCAACAGACTTCGACAGTTCTGTGAATTCTCTGGTGGTTATCTAAASGTCTGTTTTATACAGTAGATCGGTTCAGCTTATAGCGTCCTTTAGATGTATAATAATTATCAATTCAAAGCCTGGAATTGTTTCATAACGAAGCGAATGTACGGTTATTGAATCCTGTATGACACGCGAGCTACGTTGTTATGCGGGTTGCCAGGCGACGGGATATATAATCAGTTTAAATTCGGCCTACACGTAACGGCCGGAAAAATCTCAATCGTTTGACAATCCAAACAAATAGACAGACAGATAAAGAAAAGGCATCGAGAGGAAGCACTTAAAAAGGAGGAGAAATAAAGATATTATCGTTTCTTTTTTGCGAAGTTTCTTTAGTTATTTCCGTCAGGTTTTTCGCACAATTTTCAAATCGGCTCAGTAAAGTGGCGTTCCTCTCCTGGGAATATAGTAAAGGTATTTGTATGACTGSTTTGAACAGTTCTTATTGTTCGTATTAATCCTCTAGTCTTAAAAACATGTCACTTTTCAGACGCTGAATTGGATTCCTATGTCATAGAGCAGAATAATGTCGCGACGGGGTGCTTCGCTTTTTTTTCTGTACAAAAAAAGTCACCATCAGAGCATTAGGAGCCTTTCGAACGTCAAAAAATAGTTGAAAAAAAAACAATCCATTTATGCACGTTAAAATCTTATTCCCACAATTCTCATTGATGGGCACTAGGCTCAACGGAGTCTTCAATACCGCAAGAATGCTCAAAATCATATCATAACATCGCAAGATATGTAAAATAGACTGAAAAATTGTGACATTCATCCTGACCTCGATACATTAACACTGCAACCAAACAAATTGTTTCATCCGCACCACCACATTGTTCCGAATACCGCCTAAAAAAACCCACTACAAACCCCTAATGTACCCCACCTCAAGGAAGATGTATTCATGGCATAACTTGTTAAACTGTTTCTTTATTTCTGTATATCAAGATCAACACACCGATTTGTAATGTTTTTTTYCCAATGAAATTAATAAATCATCCGATGCTTGTTTTAAAAAGTGGTTACGGTATATAACGTCTGAACAAGATAGAATATTTACCTACATGAACACTACCTCGTCGCCTCGTTAATCTATTAACACTATRCCACAAGAATATTTCAAATGAATTAGAATTTGCAGAGTAGCAAAGTAGACTTTACAAAGGCTTGACCAGGATTTGTCATGGGAGAGAAGGGTTGGTACCACCCTTGATGCTTTGCGCGACTCGTCATAACGCTTTATGTTACGCAAAATTATTGTGATGCCTCGTTGAGGTCAAAGTGAGGTTGATTAAGATATTCTTGTACAATACTAAACCAAAAACTAAACCAACCAAGCAGAAACATGAACTTAGAATTCTAACAAAAAATAGAAAAATGAGAAAACCTTTTTTCTCTTTTTCCACTTAAATGAACTTTCATACTACACGATTCCATTACCTACTTTACTGAATACAAAAGATACGGACAAATACATTTTCAAGGGGGGATTGGAAAGGAACAACTCATATCCTTAAACGTCACCATTATCCTTTTGAACTCGTTAATTTGTGCTCTTAAAYTGTCYTTTTTGGCTTTATACTCTTTGTACTTGCCTTTATGCTCGTGTAGCTTTGCTSTRAGCTGATTGATACTAGGTTCTAGATTTAAACTGACAAATCGTTGCCTTACTCGAGCTACCTCTCTCTCTAAGGCTTGCAAACTGTTGCCACTAGAAGACAGGGCCAATGATGTGCTGTCGTTTGACGCTTKGTGAATTTTGGCTATTATTTGTCGGCTCTTCGTGTCTGTTTCGTTGGCTTGTCGTAACGCTTCGGAAGCCTTCGTAGATATTTTCTCAGCAGCGGTTGATACGTTTTGACAGAGTGCTTCAACTGGTTCGATCTCAGTTCGAATGTATTCGCGAACAGTTTGATTTGCAATGACTTCCTCTTGGGCTGCGGTTTCGTTTTTCAGGCGTTCAGCGCGTTTTAAAGCTTTGTCAAGAGCCTAAAAATAAGAATAAAATGTTACAAATTGTTCAAATGTTGCATTTCATCCTTGGTCAACAAGGTTTTACCTCCAGTTCTTGCTCAGMACGTTTCTTTGCTTCCATTGCAAGATCTACAGCTCGTTTTGATTCAACGACTGCATCGTGTATCGACGCATTCACGGACGTTGCGTTCGTTAGAACTTCGTTGAGTYCAATCTCAATTCGGCCAGCCTTCGCCAATGATTCGTTCGCTCGTGACGCAGCCTCTTCAGACACTGATTTGAAGTTCTTCAAAATATCTCTCTTACGTAAGGCCTCTTTGTGAATCTTATTGGCCAATTCAGTAGCGTTCATTGCAATCTGATGGGCTAATTCCGCACTTGTACGTTGCTCGGTAACGTTTTGTTCAATGATATTGCATGTCATTACCAGTTCTCGCGCACGTTGAATTGACGCGTAAACCTGGTCAATAACACTGATGCTTGAAGACCAGAAAAACACTGATTGGTTAGCATAGTTTGMACTAGATGTAGCAACCTTTGTAGAGTGAGYGTTGAGGGATTCAATAGTCTGTGGATAGAACAATGCTTATTACTTATTATTCTTATTATGTTTATTATTTCTTCGATATTTAGTACTGATATGAGACTGACTTTTGCTGTAATGCCTTGTTCGAGTTTACATGATAATCCTTGATCCGCGCACTCCGTGAAGAGCGCACGAGGAAGGCGGGAGCATTGTTAGTTCACTAACCTTGGAGTTATCCGGATTCGCAACGCTAGCTTGCCGATAAAGTACCCGTGTTTYATTCAGTACAGATGTAGCATTTYTCAGTCGATGCTCAGCCATTTTCTTTGCTTGTTCACCAAGGCTTTTCGTYGCCGTRCAATTCATACGGAGAGGATGGAGAGTAGCAGAAAATTGATCATGACTTTTCTGTACAGTTTSAGCATGTACACCGGCCTGGTTAGCTCGGYTTACGGAGTATTGAATACCGCTATGAATGCTTGAGKTATARTRGAGAGTTAGATTGAGAAGTCTTTGGGATTCTATTTGTAAGGTGGCTGTGAACAAAAAAAGAAATGAATTGGAATTACACKTAAGATCTTCCAATAGAAGTTAAGGGGGCTCGGTACAATTTCTATATCATGTGTTGTGTCCTGCTATAACTATCATGTTTTAATGATTGTTTGCGTAACAAATAATACAATTTGAACAAATGCAGGAAAACCATGAAATAAAGTCAAACTAAATACTAACAAATAGCGGCTATTTAAAGACAAATTGTCCATATCAATGAACCAGAGCGCAATAAAGATGAATGAAAAATGGTCCCACGTGGATTCATTTTCATTGTGTTCTGGTTCATTGATACTGACAAATTGTCTCTAAATAGCCACTATTTGTTAGTATTTAGTTTGATTTTATTTCATCGTTTTCCTGCATTTGCTCTATCAGCGTTACAATTCAATTGCACTTAAAAACATGACTTACATAGTTCCAAATCAGTAGAATTCATAATCGTCAAATAATTCTCAACAACATTAACTCGCTGTTCGATAGACGTGACAAGCAGATGATAGCCATCATTCAGCATTTTGGATATTTGGGATATCGTCTTGTTAATGGTYTCGTGGTTGGYYTGCACATGCGCACTGATTTCTGATGATGCATTGACAGCGGAACTTAGATTGACGTTCACTTTGGTTTCCAAGACGACGACCTGTCGCTCAAGCTCCTCCCATTTGACTTTGAAGGAGCTGTCATTGGCTGCGGCATCTGAGACTTTCATCATCARTTCCCGRACCTTGTGTACAATTTCACGAAGCCTGGTAAYGAAGGTCTTYTGGTGTTGCATGACGGGATGRCGTTGGTATTGAATGCTTAGGTCCGTGAGTTGGGCTACCTGTGGTCGCAGTMGATGGACGTCSKTTTGAAGGAACGCATAACAGGAAGAACATTCTAAAACATGGAAAACACCATCGATCATTTAGTACCTTCATTAGTGTCCACTCACTCTAAATCCGTGAAACGTAAATTCACCATATCTGTGAATTAGTGAAAAATCCTTTTCYGTCTTCTATAGGTTAATTAATTTTGTACAATTTTTAAACAGTATTTCATGGATTTAATACAATCTACTCAACAGTGTTGATTTGACTATAGGAAACAGACGAACTATTACTCCTATTTTGTACAATTTATGTCCGGCTTCCTGTTATTGTTGAGGGCACAGGAAGCCCAACATCAATACATACCCCGRCAATCAGAGATTCCCACAGATGCATTGTAAGAATTCTCTTTACACCTGTCACACCGTCGTCCACCTACGTTCATTGCTGCGTTACATGCGCACTGCCCCGTGACTTTGTCACACACYGTACTGTTACTGTACAACGTTCCAGGTGTGTGACAACTGCAGCCTTTAAAACAAAAAAGAATTATTACATACTAWTCTGACTGTATTTTATATACTGTTCTGTTCCTTGTTATAGCTTATTGTAACATACACTGCAAACTGTGATCTTTTAGTAATTTTGATTCAAAATTTCAATCTTTTAGAAGGGAAAAAAGAAATCTGGACAAGTGTTTTTATGTGATACCTTTACAACCAGATCTTGATAATCCCCAGAAGCCGSCTTTACATTCTGTACAATTAGGCTCCATGACATTATTTTCACAATACTGRCACTTGTCTCCTAGTGTCCCCACTTGACAGTTTGTACAGTTTCCACTTTGCGCATCACACTCTGAACTGCGTCCATTACAAGAACATAGAACACATTTGCCGAATGGATTAGAGTTAGGGATTTCTCGCTTGTACCCTGGATAAACACGAAAAGAATCTTTAAGACCCGTTTACACTTGCGATTTATGCAGCGCGATTATCGCGCGACAATCGCCACTTTGTTCTCAAAGTTTGCGCACCTCAAATCGTACGTGTAAACAGCTAAATTTCAAGCATGCTCGAAACTCAGGCGATTGCCGCGCGACAATCGCGCTTCAAAAATCGATATCAAATGTAAACGGCCTTTAGAAGGCAATAAATATCATGAGACAATGACAGCTGTCAAGGACAATGTCCCTACAAGATTAGACTTCAAGGACAGCACTTAAGTGTGTCATTCAAGATGATGACCATATATGATGATGATTGTGCAGTAACATTACAACACTGCACTGCATAACTAGTCTCCTTTGCAATTGTTAAAAGGTGGTCCCTCGCATTACTCTGCGAACAAGGAAAAAAAGTAGCTCTRTTCGCAGAAAACCCTCACATTGGACAAAACGTAATAGCACTTTTAAGTGCTATTAAACTACTAGGAAAACAATACCTGGTGCACATCTTTCACAAGAGAGTCCAGTGTAATTCCCATGGCAAGTAGCATTTTCTACAAACGTCACTTGTCCTGATACACATACATCATTCTTCTTCACAGCATGGGTCAACGAAATATTCCTAAAAGTCACATGACCATGGGGGTGGGTGTAGAATGTTGCAGGAACAAGAAGTGACGAGACCTCAGTTAATACAGACTGGAAATCAAATGACGTTATTTTTGTTGGTGATGTCACATGATGCTCGTCTAGAATGATGTAATATTTCRTAATGTTCTTAGATGGAGTAGGGAGGAGAGGTAGAGTGAAGTTGACTTCTCGCCCTTTTAGTATGATTCCCGGGAAGTCTGTGATTGAAGAATTAGGACTGGTGGAATCTATGGACATCTGTGAAATTAAATGAAATAAAATACATTAAATTACAGATTTTAAAATGAATAAAAACAGTTAAATATGTCATGTCAAGAAATAGTGTATCATATTTTAGAAAAAGACTGAGACCAGCAATGGTACACACTGATTAAAACTTTCACAACACTTACATCAATCTCCAATTTCTGTTTGTACGACCACAATTTGTTTCCCAGAAATCTCATGGGTGCAGACAGGTATGTTACAGACACAGAGGCTGGGACAATAACACCATCATTCCAGGATTCATTAACATTAACAATATTACCAAAGGCATCTGTAGTCTTCCAGCCAAGAAGAGGGTCTAGGAAACATTGACAGGATTAATGTGAGTTTTAAACTTTACGCGATAGCTCAGGGAAATAAAGTTGAGCAACAATTAAATTCTGGAGGGATATTTTGGTTAACCTCACACTAGTTGATACACTTAATAATATAAGTTCAACATCAAGATTTCTTACCCTTCTTATCTATTTACAAACTAAAGCACATTACAACAATACAAAGGTAACATTGTTTCTCGGTGTGATGATGGCCTTGAAAATGAAATTGAGTCTACATACCTGAAGAATTTGAGTCAAAGTTGGAATTAATGACATTTTCCACAAAACCACAGGCAGATGTGCAACTAGTGGCATGRCCATAAGCAAAACAAGCCTGGCAACCCTGCTTATAATTGGCATCAAGATTGAAGTAGTTYGCTTTRCATTGGTYACAGTTTGCACCCGTCACATCATCTTTACACTTGCATGTCCCTGTCTTGGCATCACAAACAGAACTGAGGGAACCAGCAACATTGCAACTGCATTCTGAAATCGGAATGTTATAAAGTTTTAGACTAATAAGCACTCAGACGCGTAGAGTGGACTTTTTGGCTAGTACGCACATGTCAGGGACCGCGACACATATTTTGGATCTGGGGATCTAACGGCCGGCAAAGGCGGGAGTATTAAGGGAGTCTAGACCTCCCCAAGCAAATTTTGAAATAATAACTCATGGAAATGCATATAAAAGGGATCAATTTTAAGTGAATTTTTCAATAATTTTTGTGAAAATTTAAATATTTCGTTGCCACTAGTACGCATGCATATATGCGTAAACGACGCTACGCACCTGGCACTAATTATTATGTCTGTGCTTCTGGTCATCCTTCCGTTCATTGTCAATGCATTCAGTTTTCATCCATTCTTTTTTATGCTATTTCCTTCCATTCATTCATTCATTTTTCATTTATCAATCATTTTGTGAAACAATTTTTGCTCTTACTTGTGCATCCAGAACTGGAAAACCCATAGTAGCCATTCATACAATGATCACATGTCCTTCCACTGACACCTGGCTTGCACTGACACTGACCACCATATGCCATGCAATATGAACTATTTATGCTTCCATGTGGATTGCAATCGCATTCTACATCAAGAAGAGTCAATAAGAACCATCAATCAGTCAATTAGAACCATCAATCAATTTATAAGAAAGCCCTCAGCCCTCAGCTCACGATTCTAAACATAATCAATTTAATATTGAGTTGATGTGTGTAATTGATAGCTGTCACTCACCAAGAGAACCATTGTAAATCTGAGCGAAAGCAGAGAATAAAAGACTTGAACAGTTAGCAGGAGCAGTGTCGACKGTTGACAATGCAGATTGCGATACAATRCAKTGCTGAAGGGTATCCTTGTGGAGTTGACTAGACATGGTGTACATTCTGGTTGTATTGACATCAGGAACAAATAATAAAGARTCAATCCATAATTTACAATCGCTGGAACCATTGAAACCCAACRTTACGCTATAATATTCATMATCAGCCATGTGGACAAGATCAGAAAGGATACCTGCTTTACCCCTTCCAATCTGCAACATTGAAGCAGGAATTGTTTCTTCTTTCATAAGGTTTGGACCTGTYAYRTTAAGMATWACTTGACCATGTGTACACTGACCGGCTGCAGTATATCTYACCACAACACTGTAATTGTRACTGATATTGACCGTAATGTTTTCAAAAWGAATCTTGGAGTGTGGCATCAAGCTAGCATAACCATATCCTGTGAAKTCTGTACCTAATCCAGCTACTGCAGGGGTACGTAGCTCGACAGGAACYTTTGTCGACTCTGCCTCAATCATATTGAAGTTAACCATGGGAACAAAKGTAYSAGAGGAAACAGAAGTACAGCGTKGATTTTCAATGCCACGTCGGCATGTGCATGCTCCTGGAAAAAGTAGAACAATAATTCAAATTTGTTTCAATTTTTTTAAAAATGGAATGCAAAATATGGTTTACTAACCAGTATCCTTATGGCAGCCAGGGTAAGCCCCGCCCAAGTCACATGGGCACCTTCTGCACCCTTCTCCCTGYGTTCTTGGATATCTRTAGTATTCATGTTTGCATTTATTGCAGTATTGACCTTCAATAGATGGTTTGCAATTACACTGGCCTGTTAATTGATTGCACTCTATACTACCACCACCAGTGCCTAGAATGCTGCAGTTACATGCTGAAATTAATGCAAACAACCAGTCAATAATCAATCAATTTGATTAATAATTACTGCTATTAAAATTAATTCTAATATTCTAAAACCAATGTTGACTCACTTCGACACTCTCCCCTGGGGGGTAGGGTAAATCCCCAATGACCAGGCTTGCATTGGTCACATCTTCTACCAAACACCTTTGGCTTACAAGAACACTGTCCTATTTCTTGTGTTGACGTGGCATTTTGTAGACAACTTCCATTGTTGATGATCCCATCCGGAAAGCAGTCACATGCTATAAATGGCAATAAATGGCAATAAATGGCAGTGATTTGAAAATTGACAATTACATTGCTATCATCATCATTGTCATCATCAACACCATCATTATTAGCTTGGAACACTGACAGCTGAATTGCAAGAAAATATTTGCTATTGAATCACGATTTGTCATACATGATTCAAGATCATGAGCATTATCTGGAGTCTAGTTTTACTCAGTTAAGTGTTTTTTTCATATAATATACCAGATTTATATGTATGACTTTTTCAGTGAGTTATTTCTTTATCTGAATAACTAACCTGTACAGGCTTCAGTGTGGTTCAATGGTTTGCTGAGATCCCTATAGTACTTGTCTACACACTTTTCACAATGATCTCCCTCAGAGTTATTACGACATCCTGTGCATAGACCATAACCAAGGGTAGCATTGTATTTACAACTCGTACCACGGTTATTGCAATGGCACTCTGAAAAACAATGCATATAAAGAACATTGGTCCTTCAATGTGCCTTTGACTTAATTTTGTTTATAGAGAAATGCAATCATAACAAAGAAAACCCTGAAGGATTTGACATGACTCAAATGGAATCTTAAGAGGGATTAAATTGCAAATCTTTTACTATTCTACCAATTGTTATCATACAAATCAATAGTCAATAATACACCAGCTGTTTACAGTATCTTTCACAGTTAAAAATCTGCRACGCTGTTATCCTTTGGGTATGATTTCCAACAATCCTCCCTACCCTACAATGGGAGCACCCCTTCCTGGAAAACAGCATTTAATAATAAACTATTCCTTTCACCTTGACATTCATTGGCATGGGTTCTRTTAGCGGTCATCCATGGACGGTTATTAAACAATGGTTTACACAGCTCGCAGTCTTTGCCCATAGTATCATGTTGACATTTACACACCGTATTCATGCGTGTACCAGTGCAAAAACGTGCATGACCGTTGCAAAAACATTGACCAGTCACCTCAATGTCTGAGATTGAGTAATAATACTTGTTCATACTGCTTACACTGTGACTTTCCAAGCCATCAGTCGCCGGATATTCCAGACGTACTCTTACATTTGTTGCAAGGAGTCCTTTTTGAGTTTTCGTGTCAAAGAAGCTACATAATGTATAGCGGTCTGTTGCTTTGTACTTGACTAAACCTCCTGCTCTTGGATACTGACGACTATATTTGTCAGTGCACTGAACTTTGAAGGGGTCAGCTGTATCAACTGAATTCTCAGTGGACATTTTATAAAAATCATCACACCTTTTGGCATAGTACTGCATAATCTCCCAGGTATGACCATTGTCAATAGATTTCTCAATTATCATGGCTTTAGGTCTATCAGATTGGAATTTGACTTGAACATGTCCTGAAATAAGGAAGCTTTTTCCGAATGAAAGAGTAATGTTCACTTTGAGTGGGCTTTTCGTTGTTGTTAAACCAGCTTTGTTTGTGTCTTGCCAGCTCTGGGATTGCCACCAAGTTTCGTCATTGCTATCTACAAGGTATCTTGCAGGGTGATTTTCACTTGGGCTATTTGCATCGCAATAGTCGCACTTCCCATTGACTGCTAGATAGCAGTATTTTTCTCTTTCTTTTTCTCCACAAGTATTTGTAACTGTGACATTCCTCTCCAATGATATAGTTCCACCCTGTGTGATGCAGGGTAGTGCCTTCTTTGTTTTATCATCRTAGCACTTCTCAAAGTAACAATTATCTTGGCCATTACTGTTTGACAGTAAACTGCAAAATAGAAATAGCAAGGATGTATAACATACAAGCATTTTAAATAAAATGATTGAAACTATACAATAGTTTTAAAATGTTCAAGATGTTTTCCAACTTCAATTCAAAAACATAGCTTATCAATTGTAGAACTGAAATGCTAACATGTTTAGCGGGACAGAAATGCGAATATTTTAATCTTAAGTATACAAAACCAAGCTCATGATTTATTAATAGCTGTGGTATAAAACAAATATCGAAAAAAAAAAATAAAAAATAAAAATGATAAGGCATTGTTATTTTCGAAAACTGGTAAGATATTTGAATATTTTTTAAGCTTAAGAATTAGGCCAAAAGGTTCTAATGGAAGGTTTCAATTTGTYATTCAAGCTGACTTTCGTTGTACCGAATATCGCCTGAGGTAAAGTATATGCATTAAACTACCTGTTATCGACAGATACCACTAGAAATCCTCAAGCCGTTGGAGGTTATACACAGGTACTTGGCCGGACGCCATATTGAAGCACTTTACTGAAGTCACATCATAGAATATTGACAATAAAAAGCTCTTTTCTGGTCATTTGAATGCGAAGAAATCATTCTTGAGTCTGTTATAGTGAAATAATTATAAATACGGAATGAAAAAAAGAAAATAATATAAGGCAAAAAATCAACTTGTACTGCCTGTCACTTTCCCGCCATTCATGCGTGAAACAGCTGTTGATGTGTACAGCAGGCTCAGTTAAATTCCAAGATGGCTGCCGTTTGTGGACGTCTGCTTGTTGGTCTGACTTGCAGACGATCTTTGGCGTTGTAAGGCTGCTCTATTTTTTAGTTGTAAATTAGTTTTTGTTTTGATATCTGTAGCTTTTAGCAGTTATCTAAATATTTTGTTAATCAAAGGTGGCTTACTAGAGGAATTCAGCTTCTGGCTTGTACATTTTAAGTTAATAGAAAGCAACTTTTGTTTAAAGTTTAATTTGTCTCTGCTTTTCACAAGGCATCGATTTTACTGCTCTTTTTCATTAYCTTGAATGATTTGAAAAGAGATCAAAACATTGTTACTCAGATTTCTGTAGGAAAGAGTGATATCTAACTTTTCCCATCCATTTCTTGATTTCTCTCTTTTACCTAGCATCCCTTCGAGGCTGGCCCATACTGTAGAAAAAGAGCCCATGAAATCCACAGTTACATTTCTAGGTGAAAATGAACAGCAAGAAGGCAAAGATATCCCCCCTTACGTCACCAGGTATAGTTCAAGGGGGTTTAGGATTAAGAACATCAAGGTGTTTGGATCAGTGGCCATAGTACCAGATGCATTTTATCACTGGAAGGTGAGTTGAAATATCTTATCCAATAGATTTGTAGTAGGGGTACTCAATATACCTCAATATGCACTTACCCCTATCACTCAGGGATTTACCAGCACACGACAAGCTAGAGCTAAGAAAAAAATTCAGGGGTTCTTTAATCCCTCAACGAAAAGTGTCAGCACCTCTTTTGGCCAGGAATAGCTTGAAATTCCTATCGGATAATGCAAGCTGTCTGCTTCCAGTAGAAGACACAAAAGAAACGTAGCTCACGTCTATTGCCGTTGTTCAGGGGTTCCTACTGCGAAACACCTGCTTTGCCACTACAGTTGTTTAATTTTTTCTTAGCTCTAGCTTGTTTTGAAATATAAATGGCATTTTGTGCAACAAAGCATGATTATAGTTTTAGTTCTCAGACTCTTTTTCATGTTTGTTAAAATAGACCTGAGCTATTTTTGCCATTTCTTTTCAAAAGCACAACGAAAACATAAAAATAGCTCTTATTTAGATTTTTTAGATCTATAAAAAGTGTAAGGACTACATCTGCTCCCATCATGCTTTCTTATCGATAATCAGGGGCCGATCCAGGGGGGTGCTTTGGGTGCAGACTCACCCCCCCCCCTTTTCGAATGATATATTTTTTTATATATCAGTATAAAAGTTCTTGTGCTGTTTATACTCCTGTTGTACTTTTATCAAGAAAACGCTAGTAGCATACACAACATGTGTCTGCCACTATGCTGCTTAACAATCTATTTGAGTAGTGTAGTCAAAGATACGTTGCAATAAAAGTCAATTTCCTTTCATTCAAATTGTGCATATTTTTCTTGCTCTAGACAATACCCAGCTAACAAAAATTATCAGTTCCACCTGCTATACTTAGTTTTTAGGTATATATTATTACTGACAAAAGAACCTCCCCTTAGAAAATGCTGGATCTGCCTGATAATTTCATCATGGCACACATTGCCTACTAGTGTTTTTTTATCATTTCGTTTTAGGTACAAAATCCAAATGATATAACAACAGAAAGTTTGTCTTTATTTACAATGATGGATCCACCAATAGGTAAGTGATCCTGTTTTATGCATACTGTAGAAAAAAACTTAAAGTAAATTTTGTTTGTTTCCAGAAATCCTTGTAGTTGGAACTGGTGATAGAATTGTTAGACTTTCACCTGATGTTCATAAACATATGAAACAGCACAATGTCATGCTTGAAGTACAAGATACAGTAAGTAGATAGTTGGGCTTTCTGTGGCTTAATAGCAGAGAGAGCCTGGAAGGTCATTTTAGTCTCCTCCATAGTCACCATGGTGATTCTTCCTGTTCTTGATTTCCTTTCCTCATCCCTAGTTCCTGATTATATGACAAAGGAAACCCAAGAATATCTCACTCACAGAGCTTTTTCATATTTCCCACTTTCATTCATATTTCAATATTTCTGTTTGCAGAAAAATGCTGCTGCTACATTCAATTTCCTTCTTGAAGAAGACCGMTTGGTTGGTGCAGCACTGATACCTCCCCAGACAGACACCAAATGATGAATGTAATCAACTCAAGGCAATGATAGTGATTCAAATTTTTAAAATCAAAAAACTTGATTCAAATCTATTGCATTTGGTAGGTCAAGGGCAACCGATAGCCTTCTCTTACTCTGCTCAGGGAATTGACACTTGATTTTCCTTCCTTGCCCTTTGCTCACACTTACAATTTCCGAGTTTTCCTAACCTCAAACGATACGTGTTGAAAGTGGCCGTACAACTCCCTGAAAACTTGAAGCTTAGAGAATTCTTGATCCGCTTTTTTTTTACTTCAAATTCTTGACACTTTGGTAAAAACTTAGTATTCTTCACAGGAGGTCTTCATAGAAGTTATAAAATACCTAAAAGTGTAACAGTATTCTTCAGCATAACACGACAGCCGCTCCCTTTGAGATAATAGTTCGATGAATTTCACAGGCCTCGATTGGCTATCAAATGACGTATCGTAATCTCATTAATGTCCACGGAAGCTATAAAATGTTGAGCATTTAATACCAAATGCATCATTGTATAATTTATTTATCATTAAAACATTATTTTGTATTTATCCAAGTGGTTTTAATTATTTTTTTTTTGTATCTTGGCAAGGCGATTCATTTAGTCCATTTGTAGATAGAAATTCAATTTTTGTCGAAACACGATTGTCAGAAATTGTGGTAAGTTTTCCATCAACATWTTAAACTTTTTAATACATTTTTGTACCTGTCGTCAAAGTGTTTAATCTAGTAAAATTTCTTTGTTTGATTACTATAGAATATTTTAAAATACACACGAAGAATTTTCGAAGATGCCACGAAGAGTAAAACATGGCGACAGTGAGGTCACGCTATCCTTAATTCTTTTTTTTGGAAGATGTTATTTTGTGGTTCTGATGCATTGTATATCGAAACATCGCCAAATATTTGTATTCAAAGATAAAAACACAGGTCATTATACTTGAAAGTCCATTGGATCTCTATTTAGATAGTAAAGTTCTGAATTTTTACCAACTCCAGGTTTGTCCCCCAAATGTATTTCTCAGTGGAAAGCCTCTCGTGTTTCAATTGCTCGAATCTGATTGGYTCATAAACTACCGCTCAATCAAACTAGCCAATCAGGATGCGCGCTTTTCGATTGATGTGTTAACACATCTCGATGCGAGACGACGGGAGCTGAAGCCGAGAGGTCACCAAATTGCTATCATATCAAGACTCAAGCGTATCGTATTCCTTCGCATTTCCTCAGCCTTGGAATTCAGGCAAAACACAGAGGGAAGAGCATGGCTTTCTACCCACGAGACACACTTGGTATCTCTCGTAGAAGAACCATGTTTGTCGCCGCTGGTTTTCTGGTTGTATTACTAACAGTTCAACTGGCAAATTGTGAACTACCAACGAAGTGTTACAGATATCCCGGTAAAAAGGTCCCTCAAAGATGTATGCCAGAATTCGGTAATGCAGCTTTTGGAAAGMGAATTACGTCCAAYAATACGTGTGGAAGCCCTCCGTCTTTGTTTTGTGTTCAAACTGGAGTTCTTGAAGTTAAAAAAGAGTGTGAAATATGCAATAACGATACGAACACACCATTCGCGCACCCGCCGTCCTTCATCACCGACATCAAAGATGATCAGAATCAAACCTGGTGGCAGTCTCAATCACTTTTAGAAAATCCTGAAAAAAARCCAGTCACACTMAAGCTAGACTTAGGAAAGTCATTCGATGTTTCGTATATTCGAATTCGCTTTCGGTCCCCAAGACCAGAGTCAATGGCCATTTACAAAAAGACCTCATACGACAGAGATGCGAAATGGATTCCCTATCAATATTATTCAGCGTCTTGTAWGAAAACATATGGGATTAAGCCATCAACTGACGTCTCACGAAATAATCAACAAGAAGCGTTATGTTCTGGTGAATTATCAAGTATTTCTCCTTTAACTGGTGGWCAGGTAGCGTTCAGTACTCTTGAACATCGTCCCGATGCRCTMTACTTTGATAACAGCCCAGCACTACAAGATTGGGTGACCGCAGTTGCCATCAGAATCGACCTGGATCGCATGAATACGTTTGGAGATGAATTGTTTGGCGATCGAACAGTGCTAAGTAGCTACTACTTCGCCATCATAGACTTAGCAGTCGGCGGGCGTTGTAAGTGCAATGGACACGCTTCGAGGTGTACAGAACGAGCTTCAGCGGACGGGACGACAATTCAGCTAAAGTGCGATTGTGAGCATAATACAGACGGTGTTGACTGTGAAAGATGTCTTCCTCTGTATAACGATCGGCCATGGGCTAGAGCTTCACCTTCAAATCCCAACATATGCAGACGTAAGTTTTAAATATCTTTATTATTGACAATTATTATTTCATATATCAGTGCGTCTTTTGCATGTTTTCTCTAAGCRAGCGTAGGAATGTTTTAGAGACATCGATACCCGAATAAAAACGTTTTTACAAAGTCTTGTAAAAGTGCGGCCTGTTCGATATCTAGAAAACGAAGACAAAATCACTTATTAAAATTARGTAGTCTAGATAATCCCTAAAAATGTGCGATTTACTGGATTTGCTGCSATCAGTTATCTTAAATAGCATGTGTGGTTCTAGCATGGTATTCTGTCAGTAAAACTTACAATTTGTTGTGATAAGTTTTGATAAGTTTTTCGAGAATATATGATCGACCCAACCGGAAGTGACAGGATGCCATGCTGGASTCTCAGTCTTTCATGTTGCCGGTGTATATGTGACAGCCATCGTGACTGATAGCTTTTCATAAACAACATTTTTGTTCGCGTGCTTGACTTGATTCTGGAAAAAGGTTTATATCTGCTTTACGTAAAAAGTACCGCAAAGTGTTTATCGGTGTTTGTCAAGAGTTTATCTGTTATGTTATCGTACGTAGTGCTCTTGCGTGTTGCGACGCTTTTTTCTGACGTTTATTTACATTTGTTGAAAAGCTGAAGGAAAACCGCAAGTGCGTACACCTTAGGGATCCAGTCGAGGCGAGGCTTTCTGCTTGCGTATCGTTATGGATTTTCTTGCGTCAAATTGCGTATTGAATGAAAGAAATAGAAGGCAATGAAATGAAGAATAGGAGCATAGAAAGCTTCGGGACTTCAACATTTGCAATGATATCAAATTTTTCTCACCAGAAATAGTAACAATTGCAATATTACAATTAACACTACAAAAAGATATCCGTTCCTGATTTGTCTTGGAAGTTTCAAAGAAAATTGTTTTAAGAAAAGATTTYATTCTTTCGTAACAGTATCAGTCTGAATTCCTGAAATTCTTTGAATTAATGATATTAGTTGAAGGGCCACCATAGGCGACTGACGTCTTCGACATTATTGGCTATTCGTTTGTTTGTATCAAATCAAAAATTTTCCCGTTGACTTCAACAAAAAGGATGAATAAAGTAACTAAATGCGATGGCTGATGGCCAGTCGATTAGTGGTTCTTTACTGATCGACTATTAGTGGGTATTGACCGCTGTATTAGCGGTTTGGGAGTGTCCTCTTCATTATTAACCTCCTCCCTTCATCACGCATGGAGTTTTAAAAATAGATAGCATCTCTTGGTTTTTAGAAAGGTTACATACAAACTATTTTACACCAAAATAATGTAAGAATTGCGTGACATATAGATAGTCACGCTAGGCATTTTTAGCTTTAGTTTCTCCTTCTGTGCCCTTTTACTTATAAAAGATCAATTTTTCCCATAACAAGACGCAATATATTTACTTTMCGCACGTTGTTCTTACGTCTCCGCTTCACTATTAACGTTTTTACAGGATGCGATTGCAATGGCCTCGCAGACAGCTGCGTTTTCGACGAAAAGCGTTTCCAAGAGACGGGYCGTGGCGGCGTCTGCGTCAACTGCAAGAGAAACACCGACGGACCCAACTGTGAGCGATGTAAAGAGAACTTTTTCCGCGCAACACCCAAAGACCCCTGTCTGTCTTGTAAATGTAACCCCGTTGGCTCAGTTTCACTGCAGTGTAGAAGCGACGGTCAATGTCAGTGCAAACCTGGCGTGACTGGTATCAAGTGTGACAAATGTAAACCAAACTTCTTTGGATTCTCGCAAAATGGATGCAGGTGAGTTGAATACGAGCGATATAATTCGCCATGRGATACTATTTCAATGTTCGGGATGCCATTTCAATGCTCTTAAATCACCCGCACGGGATACCCTGTCAGTTTTTGGTTATGGGATATCGTGGGATACCATTTCAATGTTCCKGATGCCATTTCAATGCTATCAAATCGTGATATACCATTTCAGTGTTTTCGTTATGGGATATCGAAGGATACCATTTCAGTGCTCSTTATAGGATACATTTCAGCGCTCGTTGTGCTGGGATATCATTTCAAAATCTATGCCATTTCAGTGCTAAGCATATATGGCCGGGGGCTAAAACCATTCCAGTGTTCGATTCGTTATGGGATCCATTTCAGAGTTGTCATTGTGGGATACCATTTCAGTGTTCATAATGGCATACCATTACAATGTCAATATACCAGAYATACAGCATCACCATATATAATATTCCAATCATCTTGCATTRAGCTTAGTAATCTTCAACTTTTTTYCCTCTCTTCTTCAGGGCATGCAAATGTCACGTACCAGGCACCGACCCTTCAAACACCCAATGTAACGAAAAAGGCGAATGTACTTGCAAGCGACACGTGATCGGTCCAAAATGCACSAAATGCCGTTTTGGATATTAYGGATTGGATGAATCGAACCCACACGGGTGTCGGCAGTGTTTCTGTTATGGACATTCAACTGAGTGCAAAGCTTCTCCTAATTACACATCTCGTAATATTACCACAGAATTCGACGCAGGGCTTGGAGGCTGGATCGTCGAGAACAAACAAGGTGACAGTTCAGAGGAAATWGTGACACGTGACCTCACCAGTCTCACGCGACCAAATTACTGAGTGTATTTTTGTGGCTAGTGCCTCGGAACGAGGCTCAAGCCATTATGCTATCGCCTTGTAACTTCGCGTGGCTGTAATTCGGAATTACATCGTCATTTCCCGATAAGATGTAGATTCCTTCGTAAATCTCTCGTATGAACTTCGTATGTTTTTCTCTTTTCAGGCAAGGATGTGACAGATGAGTATGCAGTCCATTCGCCCAGAGGTTTCATYAGTATGACAGCCGTTGGAAAGGAGACACTTTTTGCCAAGGCATCCCTCGTATTTTACGGCAACAGGCGCAGCAGTTACGGTCAGCGGTTTGGTTTCAAGTTTCGCGTTGGTACAACTGAAGGAGTTGCGGTAAGAACCACAGGCAGCCCAACAATACAATACAATACAATGCAATACAATACAATGAACTTTATTTTAAGAGGGTAACACTTGACAGTATTAAAAAACACTGATGAACTCGTGGCCCTCTAACATTATAAAAATTACAATAATTACATATATATATTTCTAAAAATCTTATAAATTTAATATAAATAGAATATTAATATAAGGGATAAAAGTTATATAAATATAGATAAAGATCAATAGATGATAAATAGATAAGAATTATTAAAATACTACTTAATTTACATATCTTCAAATTTCTCCTCCTTTCGTTGTTTATTTAAAATTTCCCTGTGCATGGTTTTCTTAAAAAGTTTAACAGACTGAATAGATTTTGTACCAACAAATAACAGTTTGTAATATTACCGCAGGGAGTTAACTAATTTGGACCACAGGAAGCTCAGGACGGAAGCTTTTGTATGAATAGAAAGACCACAGAAATTTCTAAAAGGTTCAGGGAATCTAAGTAAATTTTACGTGGTCGTCATATCCTTGGGGCTACTGGGAACGCGGGAGAGCAAAGTACTAAAATGTCTTACTTTCCAGTTTCTCCGATCTCTCCCGACTCCAATCAACAGCATTTTAGTTCCTGGGATGTTTTATAGTCCTAGACGTTGTACAGCTTATACACGTAAACGGAACTGATCATGAAGACAAGTAGTTCAGGGTAGTTTAAGCCTTAACGTAAGGTTTTTGACATGGTGTCACGATGCGTCGAATATTACTTTAAACTTTTCCAAGACACATTTACTTATGTAATTGCGTAAAACATGTTTGCGTACGAAAATTTACGTTTCCAGTAGACTCATTCACGCAGCAATCATAGTTTTCTTCCGTTGCGGTTGTCATTTTTAGATGAACGTTTCTGGCATTACGTTAGAAGCTGAAGGAAGCGTTCGGATCTCWTTTACGTTTCCATTACTAACGTTTGCGCAGTAGTAACAGTTACRCTCCTTTCTAGGTGGACTTTGCTGACATAACGCTAGAAGGAGAAGGTGGTCTGCAGGTCACAACACAGCTTACATCACAAAGAAATCCAAAACCAACCACTGAGTTTCAAACCTACGTGTTCCGCCTCCACGAGCATCCGTCGTTTGGCTGGGAGCCACGCTTAACTGGCTATGACTTCCAGAGACTTCTATCAAACCTCAAGTCGTTRAAGATACGCGTTAATTACGCGGATCAGGGCACTGGAATGTTAGACGACGTATTTTTTGAGTCAACCGTTTACGACCCAACATCTCTGCGTCAGGTGAACTGGGTTGAGCAATGCAGTTGTCCACCACAGTACCGTGGGAATCATTGTGAACGCTGTAGCGAAGGTTATACGCGTGAATTCGGCGTAGAGAACCGATACGGAATGTAAGTATTGTCTTAGAAAGATAAAGCATTAGGCGTTGTAAACTATGATGCTATTTGTCTCACTTTCTTTGCTCTGATTGGCCCATACCGTGCAATTCATTTCAGCCATCAGATTAGTGACTGAGTTTTTTTCGCTCTGGTTTCTCGGCGAAACCAAGAGAAGCGTAGACTCTGGAGCGATATAAAGCTAGACAATAACACTGTTGGCTGTGCGCGCTACGTACGATTCTCTCTAGCTCTTGTCCAACTTATGAAAAACACAGTAGAAGTAGTTAATTTGTAACTTTCTCTGATTACACTTGCCTTGGTATTAATTATTTTCTATATCACAAAACTTTGCATTTTATTAATTTACCAATACCTTTCATCCTCAGCTGTCTCCCATGCCAGTGTCACGGCCACTCCCAACTGCCATGTGACCCCGTGACTGGAAAATGTATCTGTATACATAACACTGCAGGCGCAAAGTGTGACGTATGCATAGATGGTTACTATGGTAACCCTACCCAGGGTACCCCTCAAGACTGTAAGCGGTGTCCGTGYAAGTTTGGTAATCGTTGTATTMAGGTGCAGGATAGTGTCGTTTGTACCGATTGTCCTCCAGGTCACTCGGGGAACTTGTGCGACAGGTAATGAATATTATATAGTCTCTTGTTTCATTTTGTCATTTTGTCATATTGATATAGCAATTTGCTAGCGATTGATGGAGAGTTTGTTGACCTGTACTAAAGGCTACTGCGCATGGGACATAAACACACCCAGTTTTTGATTGGTGAATTAATAATGAATACCAAGCAGTAACTTTTGGTCGTGCGCTCTCCACTCTTTCCAACAATATTGCTGTCGTTTTCTTGCTCTGATATGCCAGATAACCTCATAGTTTGTTGTGAATGAGAGTGTTCTCGTGTTTTCACCTTCACGTAATGTCTTTAGGTGTCAAGACGGTTACTATGGCGACCCCATGGGTTTAAAAGGTGTCCCGATTGGTTGTCGAAAGTGTAACTGTAGCGGTAACATCGATCCTAACGCAATTGGCTCGTGCGACCCCCAGACAGGCGACTGCCTTAAGTGTATCTATAACACACGTAACGGTCCGTTCAACCAGTGCGAGTTGTGCGCTGTAGGATATTACGGAAACGCAACGCACTACCCGAAACCGCAGTGCGAAGGTAAGATCCTAACAGAGTGATTCTTTGAACTTTGTCATCTGTAATATGCTCTGTTGATGATGTTGCAATTGTTTGACATCTTATTACTCGAGTAAATCAAACGTGTTTTGCCGACTTCAGTGCGCACCATGTTGTGATTGACAAGGACTACTTTTTTGTTATAGACAAAAAAACTTTTATATTCTTTCTCTCTCTTTTTAGCTTGTGAATGTTATGCCCAGGGCACTGTATCACCTCCTGGTCACGATCCAACAGTTCCATTCCCTTGTGACGCGCAAGGCCGCTGTACGTGYCTWCCAAATGTCGTKGGCGACAAATGTGACAGCTGTATCCCAGAGTATTGGAACGTGGGCTCAGGACGAGGATGCGAGCGGTGTACATGTGACCCAACTGGTTCCTATAACAACACWTGTGACGTAAGGACCGGGCAGTGCGCTTGTAAGCCTGGCGTGACTGGTCGGCAGTGTGACCGATGTGAAATCGATCATTACGCGTTTTCTGATTCGGGATGTCTACGTAAGTAAAATGATTTGGGATTCCTGTGGTGGATTGTAGGAACAGTCTTTGATCTTCAGTTTTCTATTAAAGCTGCATCATCGTCATCTGTTATCATCTTTAATTGACAGCATCATCATTACAATATCGCTATTGCTACCAACATTATTACAGCAAGTTCCATTACATCAGTAATTGTTATAATATTCTCCTCATTTCTATGTACACAGCCTGTAATTGCAACCCCCAAGGTTCTCTGAACGTCACGTGCAACGAACAGGGGATCTGCGAGTGTCGTCCTGGWGTACTGGGCATTAAGTGTGACTCGTGCAGGGAGAACTATCAYAACCTSACGGCTGGGTGTATAGGTTAGTAYTACAGCAGTTTCTGACTGCTGCTTATTCTCCTGTGACAGTCTATTACACTTCGGTAAATCCGTACACCCCTTAAAGCCTGTACATAAGACACGTTCTCAAAAACAGGAGAAACAAAGTTTGATATGTAAAGTAGTGTAATATACACCGAAAAGACAACAAAACCTCGTTTTACAATAAAGATAATTAAATTGAAGTACATGTATTTCAAAGGTTTCAACAGCCAAATACCTGTAAAATTTGTTTTATTTATCATAATTGCCGTGTTTCTCTGTACTATTCTGTCTATTATATTCTAATCTTGATTCCAGAGAGTAATGATCATTGTTATTCGGTTTTATTTTGCAGCCTGTCCACCATGCTACGATGAAATTCAAAAACTTGTACAAGGCTTACGAACCAAGCTGCATGAACTCATCTACATTATCGATCGATTCAACACAACTGATCGTAAARTTATCGACGTGGACTTTGAAGATCGTCTCAAGGATATCACTTCTCGTGTCAATAAACTCCTAAARCAGGCYGAGGAGGCCAATAGCACTGACAAACACCTGCAGAACGAAATTACTATGATTGGTAAGTTTAATGTTGTATTTCTTTCTAGGGAGAGAATGTCAAATCCTCATGTATGAAGCGTCTTCTCACCAATGTGGGATTAAAAATATGAACGATAAATTGCATTAATTTGCGCATGCTCAGATCGATAATATCTCAAAATGTGCTAAAACCGCGAACATTTTCTTAATAATAATCTTGTTGATATCGATGTTATGTTTACGGAACTTGATATCGTGAATAGTCGCCAATGAAAGCACTTTGTTTTTAGTAGTTATGAAGAATCAGTGAATCTTGTTTCTGAAACAGTCACTCCTCTCTTCTCGGTTTACGTATGTGATTGACTGTCATTAATATTTTCATTGATAGATAAACAGGTTAATGACACAAGGCAGAGGTTAATTGACGTCTGGCAAAACTCGACCGATGCATACTCGATAGCAGAACAAGGTCTTGGCAATATTAGCCATGCAGAGTCATCATTAAACGTTTCAAGGCATCTTTTGGATCTCATTAATAAACTGTTAATGGAGGAAGGGTCAAAGGCGTTGAATGAATCTGTCAGTAATGCCAACAATACGGATGCTAATAACAAAAGAATGAGAGAAATATTGGAAAAGGTAAATCTGTTCTTATCACATTCTTTCTTGTCATTTTATTCATTTATCTAATACAAATCGCTTCCTTCCCTTCCCTTTGCTTTCACTCATCTTTTCTTTCTTTCCATCCGTCCTATCTTTCCTTCTTAATTGCACCTTCAATAAGCCGTTCTTCTTTTCCCTGATGGTTTTTATTACAATTTGTTTCCAAAGACCAAGAAGCTTGCTGACAAACACGAAGCTCACGCTGACGAGATAACAACAAAGTCCATCGAGGCAGCAAATGCATCTGAACACGTGGTCAAAACCGTCGATGAAGCTGTGAATGTCCAGAACCAAACAACAGTTGACATTGAAGATCTTTACCGAAGACTCGACGAAACCGAGGAATTGCAGGTGGGTTGGTGAGGGAGATATATTGTATGCTTTGATGCGCGGTACTTGGTCCTAAAGCGCTATGGATCCCCGCTTGGAAAGTCGGATATTTTGCTTTAGAATGAAAAGTTTCTAAAATGATATTTTTCTTGTCAGGAAATGGCCGAGGCGAACGCTACGGAGGCGCATCGAAGGTCAAGTGACGCACTGTCAGTAGCCACTGAACTATACAACAATGGGACATCGCCATTACCGGAGCTAAACATCACGACGCTAGAAGGTATTACCAAGCGGTGTTTCTGTTGTTATCTGGTTGTTTTTGTTCTTTTACTGTCGGTTGTCTTTCTGCTGTTGTTGTTGTTGAGACACCTCACTACATCTTTCAAAAAAAGCAACAGTGATTGTATTTCATTTCGACACAGAAAAAGCCAATATGTCTAAATCTGACGCTCAAATCTTCAAAATGAAATCCGACAAAATGATCGAGGATCTGAAAGGCCTGGTGTCGAGTTTTAATGGCAAAGAAGATGATGTACGAAAGAAGATGGCTGAATGGCCTGGTCTTTTGGCTCAACTAAAGCAGTTATTGACTGATATCGAGAATGCTAATGCCACGGCTTGGGAGGCATTCTTAAATGGAGAAAATACATTGAAAAAAGCCAAAGAAATGAAAGAAATATTAGAGGTACGTACAGGAATCGTTTTAAAGCACTTTGATAATAAGTGAAAATGAAAATATGTTSACGAGAAATTATAAATAAAATTACMAAAGGAAATCAAAACATAAAAACAAAGAACTTTACTAGTATTTGTTCGATCAACATTTATTCGATCCAGTTATTATTTATTTATTCATTTACTGAGATTTTTAAACTTTGCAAAAAAATCATCGAGCTGCTCCGACAAAAATAAACTTCAAATAAAATACTTCTTTCAAGTATGGCACTACGCATGTGCTAGCTGACGCCGCTTTGAAAAAACCCGCTGGCCGGATATCGTGCAGKCTCTTACTTGTTTTCCCTCCCACATGTTTCAGCGGGTCGATTTGATACTGGTCCACATTGGCTTATCGTTGTGTTTTTAAGACCGTACTTTTTAGGATCATTTCTATAGTACGCGTCCCGTCTTTGTTACCCAACAAAGGCAACCTCGACAGCCACGGTGATGAACCAGAGCGATCTCTTCTGAGCGGGAAGCGTGTCTTGGATTTTGCCTTCATTGGCAATTTATCCTTGACAATTGATGACCGTTCCTTACCCTCACTTGTTGGGGGTTTGGAGGAAGAGATCGTATTCAGAGTGGTTGTCTTTTTAAAATAGCGAAAAAAATATAAAGCGAAGGCGAAGAGAAATAGATGTACAGTAATCCTCAAGATGTTTCTTCGAAAGCTTAAAAAATTGTAACCATTAAAAAAAATTTTCGCTTTTATTTCAAGGGCTGTATAAACGAGGAAAACATCACATTTACTACGTACGGCTGTCTATCGATATTTTAAACAGGGAACATTTGAATTGGTTTCAGTTCTTTTAAGCCGGATATATTTTGAGAAGAGTGTTATTTGATTTCTGTTTTCGGTAGATATTGTAAATTAGATTTCATGTTATTCTTGACAGTAAGAACTCTGTCGAACCGAGTAAAAGTAAACATTGAACATCGGCTGGCTTTATGATTTGCTTTGAATGTGTCGAAACACGTCTCTATGAATTAATGACCTCAGTGTGTCACGAAATACGTGCTATTAAAAACAGCGTGACATCCGTACGTCACGCAATGACGGTGTTCTGAAACTCTTCTTTTTAAATCAACGACTTGTTCCTTTTTTCTTATTACATTTAAGGAGATATATATATAAAGTAATGCTTAATATGTAATTTACGGACATTTCAAGTTTTTTTTATTATTATTGTTATTTTTTTCTTTACAGAAATTCAATTCAATCATTGAAAAGTCGAGGAAAGATGCTCAGATGGCAGAAGCAAACATACCAGAGATCGAGAGACTTATAAAATCAGCCAATGACAAGTCTGACAACGCAACTAATAGCTTGGGAGATGCTCAGCAATTGGCCAGTGAGGCAAAGGACAAAGCGAACGACGCCCAGGGTATMGCACAAGACGCACAAGAGGTACAGCCGTTTTAATTAATTAAAAACCTTGTTGCTAAAATTATGGTGCAATACTCCATCACCTAATAATAGAAGTATATTTATAATACATCTACGCAATGAACAACTTGTATCTGGAAATTTCTTTTGATTTATTGCTTTTTTTGTTGTTATACAGAAAGCTTCAAAAATAAGAAATGAAGCAGAAAATCTTGCTTTACCAGAGGACACAGTGAGTGAACCTGCCAAGAAAGCAGCCGCAAAAGTCGTTGTTCTTAAAGAAAAAGCCATGAAAGACAAAGACGCCATTGCATCCGCCAAAGAACAAGCTAACAACGCAACTGCCGAGGCGAAGAAAGCGCGCGCAAAGATTGAAGAAGTTCTCAAGAAATTACTAGCATTGCTCAAAGCGATTGATAGTCTAGACTCTGTGAACGTCACCCAGCTAAACAAACTAGAGGACAAACTCCAAGACGAGCTTAATGGACTACGAGCCATAGACGTTTCGGTGAACAACGTGGAAACGACACAGACTATCATACGCGAAAGCATCGAAAAATACACKGTCGAYATCAAGCGAYTGGAGAAAGAGATGGACATCATGAAGTCAGTTCTCGATGCGCTACCCAGAGACTGCAARAAGAAAACTTCTGTGATAGAAGGGCARGGTTAATGTTACCATGACAATTACCAATACATGATGACGTCATTAACTAATGTTACCATGGTAACTTCAAAATACATATTGACGTCAGTAATGACTTAATGAGGGAGGGCGCTTTGGTTGTACATTATATTGTTTTCTTGCTTTCTAAGAATATGTACAATACCATGTTGTCCAGACATAAGATAAGCAATAATTTGAGACATTTTTGGACATGCCTTTTTATGGACACATTTTTCACTTCCAGTTGCTCAAACAGGAAGTTTTAAAAGCCATTTTTTTACACTGAGAAAAGTATTTGTATATTGTAAGCGAGTGCATGGCATTTATCTGGGAAAACAATGTTGTCMGTACACTGTTAACCGGCTGGGATTTCACCCAATGTGTTTTCTTGGATTTATGACATTCAAACAAACATATTCTATAAATGGCTTGTAATAAGAATTCAGGGTTAAAACATTGCATCTAGCAAGGAAACTCCCAAAGAAATTCAGACTTACTAACCTAGTTTATTACAAAAATGTATGTGGAAAGGACATTGAAACTGTTTTCTCATTAAATTTAGGGTAATTTGATAGTATTATATAGTTAAATCAAATAGCAAAAATTTAGATGTTTTTGTTGCTTCAACGGTTTTCTGTTTTAGGAACCAAATTTCAAAAAAATGCAAGTAATAAATAAAGTTATATTTGTATCTTGGACTCATGTTATTCCAAAGTAAGCAATGTGAGTAGTTGAGGCCTAGGAAGAAGGGTAATAATGGTCTTTCTTTCATGATCAGAAGAATTAATAGTCATTGTTTTTGAGTAGACAAGTGCATTGTCAGTCAAAGCATCCTTGGGACACTTGTTCCTTTCCTTGGAAAACATAGCTAAATCTTCAAACAAAAAACACTAGAACAAACACTAGAACACAACATTGTATTTGATACCAACAGCAACACAAACTGAACATTCAGGGTAAATATATATCCTTCATCGTAATAATCCCTTGATATAACAATTGAATGGGATATACACCCATATTCTATGTACACCATTTCCCAGTGGTAAGCTGGGTTGTCCAAGGGTGTGGCGTGTACCTTGTTTGGACCACCTATGTAAACTATAGGATGAAATACTTTGTTGTGAAGGCAATGAACCAGTGAAATCGATATTGTCTTAATACAACTTAGTTGTCAAATAATTGTTATTGTTACCAATTTGATCATCTTTTAAGAGCACAGGCCAGACATCTGCACAATTTAGTAGAAGTTACTTTTCTGAATCAGTACAGCACAAACAACAATGGTAATATAACTGGGACAAGATGGCAACAGTAAAAACTTCAGTCAAAACACAGAGGTCCAAAGGCCCAGGTACAAGCCACACCGAAGACATAAACAAATTCACTGTGCAATAATTGCCATATAATTGATCCTTGCTAATTGCCTAATACTCCCAGAAATAATATACACTAATTTCAAGAAAACTTGACTTCTGATAATGTGATTTTTGATCAAAATATAAATTCCTCACTCAAATCTGAACAAAGTCAATGAGAATTTACTTTCTGATCAATTGTTCATGACAAGATGTCAAATGATTCCTGAAGACTACTGAAGTGAAGTATTGACAATGGTGTCTACTGTTACTGCTATATATTTTCCAGTGCATAATATTTGTGGTCATTGACATCCCCAGTGCCTGTCACATAATGACAYCTTTAGAAGGATTAAGCGCAGGCTATAGTCATACTTACCGACACTGGTGAAAAACGCACTGCGCATGTCCACAGCTTTCCCACTGAAATCTGCCTAATTTCCTTTGTAAAGCGATTTTTGTAAAAGTTTTTTTTACAATTTATAAGCTCGTTCACCGATATATAAGATTCATATTTCCATCAATCTTTGTTCATGATAGGTCCTTTTAGTATGTAGTTTCTATTTTTATCTTGTCATTTCTATTTTGAGAAAATGAGGTTTTTTGTAGTGTTTTCTGTGTTGTCGCTGTAAATCGCCAGGYGCTCTGTTTACAGATTTCAAGACGCGAGCGCCCACTGGCGGGAAAGCTGTGGGCATGCGCAGTGCGTTTTTCACCAGTGTCATACTTACCTTAGACTGGAAACTAACCATCAATAACCACTATTGATATCAATAAATTAACAAACTGAACATAGCCCCTATGCGAGCCATTGGACAGCTATTTGATTAAAATATAAATTCTCCTGCAATAACCATTCATTGCCAAGGAGAATTTAGATGTTAATC